GCCGGTGGTCTGTACAGTAGGTGACGAGTCCTGCGTGGTATACTGCAGTGATACAGGCAGGATGACGGTGGTACATGAAGCAGATTCTGGAGACTGGAGGTGTGAGAGGATGTGACCAGTGATCACTGGCGGTGCCGGTGGTCCGTACAGTAGGTGACGAGTCCTGCGTGGTATACTGCAGTGATACAGGTAGAATGTACATGAGTTAGAGGTTCTGGAGACTGGAGGTGTGAGAGGATGTGACCAGTGATCACTGGTGGTGCCGGTGGTCTGTACAGTAGGTGACGAGTCCTGCGTGGTATACTGCAGTGATACAGGTAGAATGTACATGAGTTAGAGGTTCTGGAGACTGGAGGTGTGAGAGGATGTGACCAATGATCACTGGCGGTGCCGGTGGTCCGTACAGTAGGTGACGAGTCCTGCGTGGTATACTGCAGTGAGGCAGGTAGGATGATGGTGGTACATGAGTTAGAGGTTCTGGAGACTGGAGGTGTGAGAGGATGTGACCAGTGATCACTGGCGGTGCCGGTGGTCCGTACAGTAGGTGACGAGTCCTGCGTGGTATACTGCAGTGATGCAGGCAGGATGACGGTGGTACATGAGGTAGATTTTGGAGACTGGAGGTGTGAGGGGTTGTGACCAGCGATCACTGGCAGTGCCGGTGGTCCGTACAGTAGGTGACGAGTCCTGCGTGGTATACTGCAGTACTGCAGGTAGGATGGTGGTGGTACATGAGGTAGAGGTTCTGGAGACTGGAGGTGTGAGAGGTTGTGACCAGTGATCACTGGCGGTGCCGGTGGTCTGTGCAGTAGGTAACGAGTCCTGCTTGGTATACTGCAGTTGTGCAGCTAGGATGATGGTGGTAGCCTACAGTACATGAGGTAGAGGTTCTGGAGACTGGAGGTGTGAGAGGATGTGACCAGTGATCACTGGCGATGCCGGTGGTCCGTACAGTAGGTGACAAGTCCTGCGTGGTATACTGCAGTGATGCAGGTAGGATGATGGTGGTACATGAGTTAGAGGTTCTGGAGACTGGAGGTGTGAGAGGATGTGACCAGTGATCACTGGCGGTGCCGGTGGTCCGTACAGTAGGTGACGAGTCCTGCGTGGTATACTGCAGTAATGCAGGTAGGATGGTGGTGGTACATGAGGTAGAGGTTCTGGAGACTGGAGGTGTGAGAGGTTGTGACCAGTGATCACTGGCGGTGCCGGTGGTCTGTGCAGTAGGTGACGAGTCTTGCGTTGTATACTGCAGTGATGCAGGTAGGATGATGGTGGTACATGAGTTAGAGGTTCTGGAGACTGGAGGTGTGAGAGGATGAGACCAGTGATCACTGGCGGTGCCGGTGCTCCGTATAGTAGGTGACGAGTCCTGCGTGGTATACTGCAGTAATGCAAGCAGGATGACGGTGGTAGCCTACATGAGGTAGATTTTGGAGACTGGAGGTGTGAGAGGTTGGGACCAGTGATCACTGGCGGTGCCGGTGCTCCGTACAGTAGGTGACGAGTCTTGCGTGGTATACTGCAGTAATGCAGGCAGGATGATGGTGGTAGCCTACATGAGGTAGATTTTGGAGACTGGAGGTGTGAGAGGTTGTGACCAGTGATCACTGGCGGTGCCGGTGGTCTGTGCAGTAGGTAACGAGTCCTGCTTGGTATACTGCAGTTATGCAGGTAGGATGATGGTGGTAGCCTACATGAGGTAGAGGTTCTGGAGACTGGAGGTGTGAGAGGTTGTGACCAGTGATCACTGGCGGTGCCGGTGGTCCGTACAGTAGGTGACGAGTCCTGCTTGGTATACTGCAGTGATGCAGGTAGGATGATGGTGGTACATGAGGTAGAGGTTCTGGAGACTGGAGGTGTGAGAGGTTGTGACCAGTGATCACTGGCGGTGCCGGTGGTCTGTGCAGTAGGTAACGAGTCCTGCTTGGTATACTGCAGTTATGCAGGTAGGATGATGGTGGTAGCCTACATGAGGTAGAGGTTCTGGAGACTGGAGGTGTGAGAGGTTGTGACCAGTGATCACTGGCGGTGCCGGTGGTCTGTACAGTAGGTGACGAGTCCTGCGTGGTATACTGCAGTGATGCAAGTAGGATGATGGTGGTACATGAGTTAGAGGTTCTGGAGACTGGAGGTGTGAGAGGATGTGACCAGTGATCACTGGCGGTGCCGGTGGTCCGTACAGTAGGTGACGAGTCCTGCGTGGTATACTGCAGTGATACAGGCAGGATGACGATGGTACATGAAGCAGATTCTGGAGACTGGAGGTGTGAGAGGTTGTGACCAGTGATCACTGGCGGTGCCGGTGGTCCGTACAGTAGGTGGCCGCCGCTTATCTGGTGACGAGTCCTGCGCCGCTTGCAGTATTTTATGTCCCGGATCCTTTAAGTCGGCACAAGCCGAGCTCTTCTGTGATGTCCAACACGGCTTACTATATCTCTAAATGTAAATTAGTCTTCCGATACAATCGGATTTCAAAGCGAGCAGGTGAGAAGGTCATTTGAATTCCTTTGCGTTTCATGTACCGCGCGAAAATCTCCTTGGATTGAGTTCAGTTTAGAAGTGCAAACATTTGAATATTGGAAAAGGGCTTCTACACTCGGGATAGAATAACTATAAACCTCTAACCTTCGAATGGAGTTCCGAGTCTATGTAAATTGTAGAATCGTTCTCCACTGTGCTGAGATAATGAATACTAACACCTTTTAACAGCTACTGAAATCGTATTGTATAATGGAGGTGATGCGTTGACGTACGTCTAACCGAATGAAAAAAACATGTGGTACACTTACCAGACTCCTCCTTTCTGGCAATCGCATACCTAGTAAAAACCTAATCCTAAAATGTAGAAAAAAATTAAAATTTACTCCAGACACAAACGATGTAATTTAATATTTTTATATGAAATTGGTATATATAAATTGGTATTGGTCCTGTAAAGCAACATTTATTTGAATGCATTCGGGAAAGGGCTTGGAAGTCAGTTTTCTACTCTATATATTGCTTTTGGAACTCTTTTTACCTGTTTATGGACATAGCTACAAAGCTCTGGCAAATGTTATAATTTCATTAACGATTTTGAAAGAAACATGAAATGTTCCTGAGGAGCAAACCTCATTATTTAGCATAATATCAGTTCAACTTGAAGAGGAGTCCAAGGAATACTTTTATTTCTTATAAGCAGGTTGGAATACAAATTCATGGGGGTATTATATACACGGATTTGCACAGGAGAACAGATCTCCAAATAAAAATTAATCTTATAAAAAGGCAATGAACCAGGAACTAAAATACAATTTGGGTTTGTCATTATCTCAAGTACAATAGAGTGAATTAATGAGTAACTGTAACAAGGTTTGGGGCGATCTGGGCGACAAAGCCGTCTACGTCATCGCTGGCAACAGGTGTGTGTCGCAACGGAGACATCATCTTGAGCTGTGGGTTCATAGCACGACGATGGAAGAAATAAATTTACAAAAGCCCATACAGTTTTTATTTTCAAATTTGCAATGCATTTTATTGCCCCTTTTTGTTGGTGTTACAATTATTCCAGTCCAATAACACTAGACCTATCAATTATTTTGATTTATAAAACAAAGCAGCCTCTAAAACAAAATGCAATCATAAAGTAATTTATTAGCTTCACCCGGCCACGCTTCACTGTGACATGCATGAATCTGATGTTTATTATAAATTCAACAAGAATCCCATAATGCCAAAAAATTTAATTTCTTCGTTCCGCAAATACTTCCATTTATGATTACTTAATTACTATTGTTTTTAGCATAATCGTAAACATTACTACACACCCGTTTTGTCAAATAAGTTTCAAACCCTCTAAAATTGCTTGAGAAGGAACCTATTGTTTAGACAAATTGCTCTTCACCTTGAAATCAGGACGGCCAAGCTATCGCTGCATCATTTGCCAGGCGAATGGATTTTGAAAGCCTTTCAAAAATTTATAATCGGTGTAAAATACTTAACACGGTCATTACAGCTCATGGGCCGATAAAACCGGGTGGAGCTATAAATATATCATACGGATATACGAGGATATACGGTGGGATCGGCGAGCGTGGAGCGTGTGTAACGGTAGAGTGGGCTCGGGCCTTTGAAGTGGCTTTTTGCGAGAGATAAGCGGCTATGAGACCACTTCGGGGACCGTCGATCGCCGCTCGAGGAATTCGGTTGATCAGTCGTCACACTCACGCACACACTCACAACACTCGTATTGAGCTGCTTTCGATGAACATATAAAAGTCTCCGGTTAAGATTAGGATATATGGCTCAATATACCAGCACCGGGTCTAAAAGCGTCGACCGTGGAATGCGAAGGAGGATCGTTTTAACAGTCCACGAGGTATTCATATATCACTCTCGGTTTGACGACGAGCTTCCTTTATCTGTCAACGAGAGACACCTCTTTGATTTACTTGGAGGTAAAAGACATATTAACGGTGATAAACTCGGCGGTAATGCCTTCGGGTGGGTGAAATCACGCAGTAGAAGCTCTTAAGGTTTTAGTCAAGTTTTACTGTTTTCCAGGTTCAGTTGAAGTTCTTGGTAGGTCTTTCTAATCTTTGATGGGTTTGTTCAACTACTTCAGGAAGTTTTGTATCACTAGGTGATTCGTTGACTACTGTATCATGAAAACGTACTGATTTATAAGTTTGCAAGTAATATGAAACGGGCCTTATATTTTTTGCAGTAAGCCGACAAATTGAACTTGGTCATAAACAAAAACTTTCATTGAATATTTAATTTTTTGTAATAATAAAAATCGTTAGTTGAAACGAAGTTTTAGGTACAACAAAATGCAAATACGGTACGGTATGTGCAAAATATAAAGATGTAATACATAATATCTCATTACCTTTTTTGGGGTCATTAATATTTAGAAGTGTTTGTATTCAAAATTATTTCTATGCTTTTACTTTTGCAATAATTAATGCAACATACTTTTACATAGTCCATTTCTAAGCACGACAAATTTTACTCACCAATTGAAAAGTTTCCTTCCTCGCTGATTTCTGTAGTTCTGCGATTCTAGCAGAATTCTCTTCATGCTGTGAGCGGAAATCCTCGACCTTCCTTCTATCCGCTTCAGTTAACATCTGGAAGAGAATATGGATACAATTTCTTGGTAGGATTTATAGCCTTTAAGTTTATGCCTATATAAAACGGCATTGATGGTTAGACGTTATCCTATCACTTAATTCTTATCTAAACCCATCTTCTATACCCATGTATTCTAGGCTGCTATCAACGTCATTCTAGCTTCACAGAATCATCTCCTGAATGGAAATGAAACTAACACGAAAAATATTCGAGGAAAACAACACTTGGAGTCAACTGACACGCGCATCGCATCAGACATGCAAAACATATATTATATGTATATGAGGACCGTCCCAAAGAATACGATTTAAACATTCTTACTTTACTTTGGGCAGTTCATTCAATTTAAGTTAAACACATTAAATACAATGTATTGTTGGATACTGTTTTCGTCGTAAAAGTATTTGATTTGATCAAATTCAAGACTTTACGAACTTTCTTCAAACTCAATTTCTTACAATTACATTTATAACGAGACATTTATAAAAGTCAGATTTCAGTACTGAAATAAATTTAAAATAAATTAAGGACCACGTTAAAATACCCCGCCGCAGCAAACCTGCAGACTAAGCGAATTTCCATTTTCTTTATTTGATTTTCACTTAATTCTATTTAAATGGAACTAACCCGTGTTGGTGTTTCATGAGTACCTAGGTTTGCTGGTACTAATAGGGTATTGAAGTTTACGACTTTTTTAATTGTCTCCGTAACCAATGGCCGTACAAAAACATTTCAATATACAAAATTATTTGCTTTTAAGCTCTTCAAATTTGTTTAGTGAGAATCAGAAATTTTATTTCATGAGGGTTATTAATGGGAAAACCTGATTTTTGCCCCAGAAAACCCCGTTCTCATGGTCCGATCCGCGAACTCATTCAAGTAAATTTAATCAAAATCGAAAAAATATTCAAAAAGTTTTCGTGTTCACGGACACATATTTAACTTTTTTAAGAACGAATATGGTTTTTGGCCTCTGGGGACATCAAAATGAAAAAGTAAATCGGACTCGGGCCTAGCTCTTACCGTGCCACCTACGGTAATAACAATTTCCCTAAAGACAAATTTGCTAAAAGGGGAGTTTAGTTATTATTCATCATTGCTGTAATGTATTTATATTGTATCCACATTTATGTATTGATATTTTAGTAGGCTGGTTACGGTAATGAAAGTTTTGTATTAACACATTTTGTTGAAAGGGAAAATATTTAATCTATTCAAAAGACGAATCACAATATGTTTGGAATTCGTCAGCTCTATTTGATCGGGTTTGAATAATTTTGAATTTCAGAGTAAACTATTCACGCTAAGCGCCTGTTTTACCCGCAAGATAGATAAAACGAACTCTCTTAGTTTTTTTTTTTTTTTTTTTTAGCGAATTTCCCTATAGGGAAGTAGCTATTACCGTAGGTGGCACGGTAAGACCTAGACCCGGGACCGATTTACTTTTTCATTTTGATGTCCCCAAAGGCCAAAAACACCATTCGTTCAAATTTTTATATATGTATATATATATATAGACTTATATATATATACGTCCGTGAACGCGATAACTTGAGTAATTTTTGTCCGATTTTGATGAAATTTGGTTTAAAGGTGTAAAGCGGGATAAACTTGAATGAGTTCGCGAACCAGCATGATCGGACCATGGGAACAGGGCTTTACGGGGGGTTTTATGGGGTAAAAATTGGTTTTTCTCACTTTTGACCCTCAAAACACAAAACTTCCCAATTTCTCTTTAGGCCTTTTTAAAGAGCTTAAAAAACAATTAATTTAGTATGTAAAAGTATTTTTGTTCGGTTAATAGTAACGGAGAAAATTAAAAAAATTGTAAATTTAAAATTCCCATGTTATTCTTATAGAGAATATTGTAAAATGTTGTAGTTTGCTTGTTTATGGATATATTTTGTATTATGATCAAATTTATTTATTTTGTACTAAGCTATCAATATTTTACAAAAAAAACACACTTTATTAGTTTCCTTGTAGCAGCAAACCTAGGTACTCGTTAAACCTAATGTTATTAAAATATATTTAATTGAAAATCAATTAAGACAAACGGAAATTCGCTTAGTCAGCAGGTTTGCTGCGGCGGGGGTATTTTTTTTTTTTTTTTTTTTTTTTTTTTTTTTTTTTTTAGTCTATACTAGTAGCTACTCTAAGCTAACTTACAAACAATCTATACAAATTCTTATATTCCCACAATGTCTAAATGCCTAATAATCACAACTCTTTACCTGTTAGAGAGGTTATGTTTTTTCCTAACCACTCATTGGCAAATATAATCAGCTGGTTGGTATCCAGTAAAACTCATTACAGTACAGTACGTAATAAAATCCCTTTGAATAAGCTGGAGGCAAACAGCTGTTTTCTGTTTTCATTGTGTTCGTTAAAAACTGTGTAGTGTGGCGTAAAGATATTTATTTATTAATCAGCTGTACTATTAGAGGCAATGTTACCTGTATCTTCTCTTCCAAGTCTTTATTGTAATGTTTCAGGGTTTGTATTTCCTGACGTAGTTTGGGTATGTTTTCGGCTTCGTTCGTTGTAGTCGTTAGTTTGTTGCAGGTGTCGGTGTAGAGGCGCTGCATTTCCCTTAGCTGCGTGGTCAGAGACTCCACCTGCAGTACATAACACAATGCCATTACAATCAGTAGCAAACAAATGTTCTTCGTTAGTCAACGAAATTTTCCGACAACATTTCTGTTATTTGACCTAGGCATCCAAGGAATCAAACGATTAAGTAGTTTACATTCCTAATTTCGAAACAATGTTGCGCCATTCAACGTGGGGCCATTACGCTCTTTAATTTATGAAAGTGTTTTCATAGTCCGTTGAGTCTCCTTTAAAAGTTGCATGAAATATTCAGATAACGTCTCTCAACATCTGATAGGGAAAATAAATATCTAAACAGGTTTTGTTACAATGGTAGGAAAGAGTAGGTATTTTGGTTTTTTGATGCTATGGCTATGGTTTTATGTTGATTTTAGCAATAATACCTCGTTTCATGTGGTTCTCTAATAGTATTTTTTTATATGATTTAATTATTTCTAGTAAGCAATTTTAGGGGTTTTTTGTTGTTACCTGAGCCTGGTGCTCCCTCTTCCACTCGTCCTGTTTCTGGTTGAGGTTGCGGTGGAACTCCGCGTGCAGGGAGTGTACCAGCGCCTCCACCTCGCTGCGAGGGGGCGACTCCACCCGCCGAGACTCCCGGAGTTGTTCCTGCAGAAGCTCCACTTGCTGCTTGGCCTCGCGTCGCAACTCCTCCTGACGCGCGTGAAACTCCCGCTGGAACTCTGCGGTAAGGGATCGTTTGATAGACTCCTTTTCTGCTGCTATTGCCTCGGTCTGGGCCAACTCCATTCTAAAAATAGATCACACTTCAAGTCGTACCGCTGTACTATCCTAAATCTGAAATAAACTATCACGTTAATAGTTGAGTATTCAAGGTATGTTAGCCAAATTTGGAAAGGTCTGGTCAAAAAAACTAAGGAAATCCAAAAACTGTTTTCTAGTAATATTCCCACAAACTAGGTGGAACATATTGGTAGAATACTGAGCTAAGCTTCAGATTCTCTTGTAAGTCACCTTGTTTTGAAGTTGTCTAGGAGGGCTGCATATTTGTCAGCCTCTTGCTGCCTGGCCACCCTGACCTGGGTCGCCACCTCGCGGCGCCACGCTCGTCCAGCGCTCCGTTCACTGTCGAGCGTCTGCTGCAGTTCTCGGCATCGCTCCTGCGCCGCCCTCGTGGCAGATCTCTCACTCTCCAGGGCGCGCTGCAGGGCCGCCACCTCCTTGCCCTTCAGTCTACTCGCCGTGCTCGGCTGCCGGTCTGCTGGTCGGGACATTCCTACAAGCACAGTTCATCATATGATACAAATGCTGGGGGTATATCGCAATACATTTAGTTTAGAGAGATGCTCAAGCTGCATGTCAAATACGAGCCCTGCGGTTTAGTTGTAGGAATTACTAGGACTAGGACATGAGCAATAACATTCATTAATATCACATATCATATTGTTATATGGGTGACTGGCGAGGTTCAATTTGAAACTCCAGATCATATGTCCCGCACTTTTAACAATAGACCATCCTCTCCTTCTCTGTATCATTCATGAACAGAGATCAAGAGTCGATGGAACACTCATATATGTTGTACTGAGTTTGCTAATGCATTAGGCTTTGATTAACTAATATATTTGACAGCAATTACTGTAGTAACAAAAAATGTGGTTAGTACAGTAGGATAAGTACTTTACAAACCTTGTTGTATTTTCTCTAGAAGAACATTTGCTCTTTAAAGATTGTTGAAACTTAGATTTGTATCCAAAGATATACGCCCTACAGGAAGAACAGTACAAAAACGTAATAGAAATCATAAATTTGTTATTGAGCATCATAAGAACCATATATGAAACTGTCTTGAGATTACAGTTTCTCCAACAACTCGAAGAGCTTCAGAGGACGATAATAACACAGAGGTAATTACTCGGTTTGTAGGCGTGAATAAAACAATTGAAGACGAGACTGTCGTATGATTATAAACATCTTTCTCCCGCAACTCAGGGCGAGTGGAGTGAGATAATGATGATGCAGAGTTTAATCATCACTTTGTGGGGTTGGCGTGAGGAGGACAGTTAGTTGTGCACAAGACTATCGTAAAACAAGAGGGAAAGAGCGTGACTAATGTGTAGGGAACAAGGTGGCTTGTCTGATAGACGGTGAACTATGGCGCTGTCGAGGCAGATAGAGACGTAGTGAGGTCTCCAGGACTAGGTGTTATCAACAGCAACTCTAGGGGGAACGAGTTGGTGATGTATTTGCAATATGGTACCATACCCTAGAACCCGAGATGTTATCAACGGCAACTCTATGGGGAATGATATGGCGATGTATTTGCAATACGGTACCATACCCAAGAACCCGAGATGTTATCAACGGCAACTCTAGCGGGAATGATATGATGATGTATTTGCAATACGGTACCATACTCTAGGGCCCGAGATGTTATCAACGGTAACTCTAGGGGGAATGATATGGTGATGTATTTGCAATATGGTACTATACTCTAGGGCCCGAGATGTTATCAACGGTAACTCTAGGGGGAATGATATGGTGATGTATTTGCAATATGGTACTATACTCTAGGGCCCGAGATGTTATTAACGGCAACTCTGGGGGGAAACGAGCTGGTGATGTATTTGCAATACGGTACCATGTCCATACTCTAGGACAAGAGATGTTATCAACGGTAACTCTAGGGGGAATGATATGGTGATGTAATTGCGATACGGTACCATACTCTATGAACCGAGATGTTATCAACGGTAACTCTAGAGGGAATGATATGGTGATGTATTTGCAATACGGTACCCATACTCTAGGACAAGAGATGTTATCAACGGCAACTCTACTCTTGGGGGGGGGGGACGAGTTGGTGATGTATTTGCAATATGGTACCATACTCTAGGACCCGATATGTTATCAACGGAAAGGAGAAGATAATGTTACTGGTATGAAACTGTTCAAAACATTCCAATTTTTAAATTAAAATAATAAAATATTTAAATAATTTATCCAAAACTTTTGTATAGCAATTAAAGTTTTTTTATGAATTTTCAAATATATTTTCTAAATTTGCATTTTATGGCTAAACGGTTAATTATATTTAATATTCTTATGACAAAAGTTGTAGCTCTTTCTTTGGTGAACATTTTTTACATTTAATGTTTTTTATAGGATGAATAGTTTTTTAGTAATCGAGAAAAAATGGTTTTTGGAGGCCATTTTCCAAGATGGCGGCCATAACATAAGTTTTTTTTTTTACTTTTAGTATGTTTTTCCGGGAGTAAAATTAAATATACGTACCAAGTTTTACACTTATAAGAGTTTTTTTAGGTAATTTCTCAAATAAGACTAGACTGTACCGGTGATTTTTACATTTTTGCGGTTGTAGATTTTCTTAACTTCTCTTTTCTTTAATGTATTTCTTTTAGTTGATTTTTGTATGTTATTTTTATACGAACTAAGCAGAAGCAAACTGCTTCGGATATGAATTAAAGTCCATGAACCGTGAACGAAACCACGTAAGAAATTATGACTCTTTCTTTGCAAATAAGTTCGAACCTCAATGTTTTTCAGTGAGACTGCGGTCGTCTCTCCCTAGACCGCACACACCACAACTTACAATCGATTTCTTACGTAGTCACTGTTGCAATGCTCAATATCGCTGTTTGCACCGACGCGCGACGCGACGTGTCGATGACTCCGTCCGTATTGTTTCAACCTACCATCAAAGTTCTCAAGACTAATAGCTGGAGCGTGCGATGCTAAAATTACTGATCTTGACAGTTAGGTAAAAAGAGAATATTTTGCCAATCAAAATGGGTGACGTATACTTTTAAATACAATCTGCAATTAGCCAGGCCAACAAGTACAATAATATCAAAAGAGAAATTTCAATTGAATAATTCACCAGGTCAGTTAAGTGTAGGCCTACCAAGAGATTCTCTATTGAAATTCTGGCCGCAACTGAAACTGAACTTCCTGGCTTGTTCTTGGAAGCAGCGGAGTTGTGAATGAAGGCGGTGTCAGTGTGAATGGACGTGTACTACTCTTCTGTACCAGCAAGCTTCCTTGTCGAGCGGTGCGGCGATGCGGCGGTGCTGTAAAAGGCGCGAACAGTTGTTGTTCTGCATTGAATTGCTCAGGTGATCCAGGAACTCTCTAAGCTAGGGGTAGAAAGTGGGAAACGGACAGAGGAGCGCAAGTCGTAAAACTGTCAACCCCTTGGCTGAAGAATTCGTCGGGGGTAGGACCAAGGAGCGCAGAGGTGCTCGCGCTCCTTGGTCCTACCCGGGCAAGAAACTAATCCCCTACTTACGAGGGTTGAACAAGACAATGCTTGGGTCGACCCTGTGAGTAAATCCCATTAGTCACGCCTCACTGACTACGCCATTGATTCCAGAATATTTTTACAGTGCAACTTATTACCAAACTAATGTTGTATCAACAAATTACCAGGCCACTTTCGAATTTAAATTGCAATATAAAACCTGATCCTTCAGTTGAATATTGAACCACATTTAGATTTTGTTTATAAAGCAGTTAATAAAAATAAGGTAGGTGACTTTAGTCTTCATGGTGTGGATCTAAAATAAATCAATGGAATTGATTGAAAATTAGTAGGTGTATTCACTTTTAATGACTGCTTTAAACAAACATAATATTTAAAAATAAAGGGGTATTGCATCGTTAGTTTTACCAAAGATTACATGTTTTACCTTCGAAAATGTGTTGAACCCTATTAAAATGTGCAAGTTTGCAATGGGCCCCCTGGTTATTAAATACACATTTTTTATAATACAAATCCATTTGAATACAATTAACTGCTTTCAACATTTACCCATCATTGATAGAAAACAAACCTGAATTTTACATCTTAGTTTTATAGGTAATTTAAACGGGCAGAAACCATATCTTCTTTATGATACAAATCCTATCTTATCCATTGAAAGTATACTTTTAATATACATTGAAAGTATATTAAATGGCAATGGGATAACCTTAAGGAAAACAATTTTTAGAGGAAGGGGTAGGAGGGGGATGAATCATAGATATATTCTCAGAGTTTTGGCTAAGTTCGGTTACGTGACCCCCCCCACCCATTCCATGCGCCCTCGTACGCGCTTTTCATACCAATACCTGTACCATAACAATACAATTATAAATAGATTACAAAAAAGCAAGTAGTAACTTGATATTTCATAAATATCTTATTGACTAGCATAAACAAACTATACCCGTGCAGCGCCTATTTTATCCTAATTAACAATATAAGTTACTTTGTAGTTTTTCAGACACGACGGCAAGAGTCGAATTTGACTATGTTTATTGTATTTGTGTCAAAATGGTGTTTTTATGAGGAAAATTGTGTACTATTTGGAATCATATATATCTTTTTACAAAAATACAAAATGGACCATTCTCAATTCAATTCATATTTCTTAGGAGGTAAACTTTACTTTTGTTATGCCAACAGTGATAAAATCAAATCACAAAAGGGAAAATTTTAAATATTTACACAGCCAACACTTTATATGGTAGCATATATCATATTCCATATAATTTTAAGGGTATTCCAACTCGAATCAACCCCCTAATTTAAACTCAATTTGTATTACTTTCTTTTAGTTTTCGAATCATCATTGGTGTTTTTCACCATGTAAAACACGTTTGTTGAATTGCTAAACATTGTCCGCCACAATGTCTAAATAGGAACATGTCACAACGTCAAACATCTTAATTCAACAACTTAATGTTTGTAGGGCCTAAAAATGTCTAAACTTTAGGCCTACGGTTCGATGTTTTTTTTCAGAAATAACTTTTTTCTGGCTGGATAGATAAGTTTGATAATTTTACCCCGAAATCATCTGTTCGCATTATTTAGATTAAACAGTGATTGTTACTTTGCCGAAAAAAATCGCAATAGCCAATATAACATTGATGAGGCTGATTAATAGTGCACTCTGATTCGGATTTCTTGGCCACAATGAATTATTTTTACCCTTGAGTCTGTGACATGAGCTAGTTAATGTACCAATTAATTGTACTGTTACCATTAACAGACAATAGCACTTTCTTTAGGGACCTCCACTGGTAACGAATTTGTAAAGTCCATCGCCACTGATTGTAAGTTACTTATAACGTAAAGATGTAAGTGAAAGTTTGCTTGAAGAACAATTCACTAATTCGATCAGAATTTGTTTTCATACGACGTATTATTTCGTCACATTATTGGTACCTAGTGACGTTTGCCAAAGACGGTATAAGCTTTGAAGAAAACTTGTC